CTTCTAGAAACATTTTTTTTTTTTTTTTTGAGACAGAGTCTCGCTTTGTTGCCTAGGCTAGGGTGAGTGCCGTGGCGTCAGCCTAGCTCACAGCAACCTCAAACTCCTGGGCTCAAGCAATTCTTCTGCCTCAGCCTCCCAAGTAGCTGGGACTACAGGCATGTGCCACCATGCCCGGCTAATTTTTTCTCTATATATGAGTTGGCCAATTAATTTCTTTCTATTTATAGTAGAGATAGGGTCTCGCTCTTGCTCAGGCTGGTTTCGAACTCCTGACCTCGAGCAATCCGCCCGCTTCGGCCTCCCAGAGTGCTAGGATTACAGGCGTGAGCCACCGCGCCCGGCCTGGAAACATTTTTTATTGGGCTTTCTGGGCCCCTAGAGTGACACTCTCCACTTCTAAATGAAGATCACTCAAGGAGCCTGGCTGATAACTATGGGAGGACTTGGTGGGTGCATGCTGTTTCAGCCCAAGCTCAGTGGGGACCATGGGCAGGCATGTTCTTCCGTAGCACTGGTAAAAGTGGCCACGTGCTGCCCTGGCCTATGCAGGTGCCTTTGAGAGAAGGACCCCCTAGGGTGCTGGCCTCCGCCCTTCCTTTGCCATCCAGGAAGATGGTCTGCCTTGGGTGGGCCCAGGGTGGACCGCATTTCTCAGTGAGTGCCTTTTGGAGGCCAGAAGTCCAAGGTCCCCTGGAAGAGGGCAGGTAGAACAAGTCTCAGTTCCACCGTGCATCCCAGATCAAGTCTCAGCCTGTAGATGCTGTCTAGAGTTAGGACAGTACCATTATTGCCACCTTGTCATATTGTGATGGTTAATTTTATGTGTCCATGTGACTGGGCAACAGGGTGCCCAGACATTTGGTCAAACGCTATTCTGGGTCAGTTTCCGGATGAGAGGGACATTTGAATCAGTGGCTGAGTAAAGCAGATGCCCTCCCTAATGTCAGCGGGCCTCATCCAATCACCTGAAGACCTGAATAGAGCAAAAGGCCCCGTAGGAGGGACTCCTCCTGCCTGACTGCAGAGAGCCGCAACATTGGTGCTTTCTACCTCTGGACTCTAGCAGAAACCTTGGCTCTTCCTAGGTCTCAAGCCTGCTGGCTTTCACACTGGAACTACAACTCTGGCTCTTCCGATTTTCAGACCTTTGGGTGCAGACTGGACCGGTACCTTTGGCTCTCCTGGGTTCTAGCTTGCTAATCACAGGTCTCGGAACGTCTCAGCCTCTGTAATCACGTAAGCCAATTCCTTATTTCATATAGCTAACATATACATTCCTATATTATATATAGCCCTATATCGGACATATCTTATATATAAAACGTGTATATATATGTGTGTGTACACATATATATTTCGTATAAGTTCTGTTTCTTTGGAGAACTCTAATACACATATTTTCAATGTTATTTTTTTATTTATAAAACCAAAATGCACTTGTACAAATTCAAATGTTACATAAATATATAGTATGGAGAATTACCATTGCCCACAGTCCTATCACATGAGTAGTCGGTATAGATTCCTGTATTTGCTTAGCTGCAAAGAACATCACTCCTACGCTAGCCATAAGAGAAAGCTGAATAAACTACAAAATCATAAGTTTTCTTGAGCTCATTGGAAAGGCAACCAAGTAGCCTGGGTTGTAAAGAGGAACAAACCCTTGCAATGAGAGGACACATAAACCATCTCACCTGTGGCGGAGCACTGCAGGAAGGTATGACCACAGAACAAAATACAACCAGATAACACTTTAATGAATTTTTAAAGGCCAAGAGGAGGCTGGTGTGTCAGTGTGCAATAGCTGGGGACCCCAGATGCAAAGGAGTCCCCTCACCTGCCAGATCTTCCCCCTAGGCCTCCACTGGGAGCTCAGGAGAAAGGTTGAGGCAGGACAGAAGGCCCGAGAGAGCCTGCCTTGGTGGTCCAGGCCTGCAGGAGGTGACCTTCAGCTGCTGGAGAGAGGCATTCCCACTTCCTCAGATTCTTGTCTCCTATGAAGCAATATTCTCAATTTGCTAGGTGGTTGGGCAATATACCCTTTACCCCCCAAGGAGTATGTAAAAGCTCACTGTGATTAGAGAGAGGAAAGGTATAAAAAAAAATCCCTGCATCCCTAGGGAAGGGGCAAGAAGCCATCCAGGCCCTAGGATCCTATACTGATACTAACCAGAAATCAGCTACCACTGGGGGAGGGGGGGAGTGGATGGGGGGAGGGGTGGCAGGACACTCACACCCAAGACATGCCTAAGACTGAGGCTGGACCAGGACAACAAAGAACCCTCCTGCCCCTATCATGGACCTAGTTGACCACTGGGGGAGGGGAAAGGGCACGGAGAGAGATACCCTCTGTGTTGCAGAAATGTGAGCAGGGAGTATGAACACTGAGAGCATCCCAGCTCCACCCTAATCACAAGGTGACAGTAACCTACCACTTAAGGAATTTGAAGCCTATGGACCTCTGACAGTAAGAACAACATGAAACCCCAATCCAGCTCCACTCCAGACTAGACTGACTCAATGCCCCACAATAAAGGCCTGAAGTCATGAATGGCAAGCCCATGTCCAGGTGTACATACTGAATGAGGGCTCTTCAGAGAAATAGAACCAATAGATGCATATATACATACATGCAGAGAGAAGGCAGCTGGATTTCAAGGAATTGGCTCATGGAGTTGGGGTCCTGAGAAAATCCAAAGTCTGCAGGGCAGGCCAACAGGCTGGTGACTCAGGAAAGAGTTGATTTTGCAGCTTGGGTTTGAAGGCGACCTAGAGGCAAAATGTCACCTTCTTTGAGGGACCTTAGTCTTTTTCTGTTAAGACCTTCAGCTGATTGGAGGAGGCCCACCAACATTATGGTAGCCCCTGAATGAGAAGAGAAAGGAGTGCAGAAGAATAAATATTTAAATAAGCACTGAAATTTTTCCAGAATTAACAAGATATATCAAATCAGGGATATAAGAAGCTCTGTGACCCCCAATCAGGAAAAATGCCACACACACTCACACACACCACACACATATATACACACGTGCACATCATAATAGCTTACTATCAAATTGTGAAAGCCAATGATAAGAAGAAAATCTCAAAGGCAGCCTGTGAGGAGGTGGGGGGAGGAACACAGTGCATTACTAACAGAAGAACAAAGATAAAAATTAGAGCAGACTTCTCGCCAGAAATTATGCAAATCAAAAACAATGGATCAGCAACTTTAAAGTCCTGAGTGGGGGAAAAATTTACCCATCAAACCAGAATTCTATACACAGTGAAAGTATCTTTCAAAAATGAAAGCAAAAAAAAAAAAATCTTTCTGACAAATGCTGAGCAATTTCACTGCTAGCAGACCCATGATACAAGAAATATTAGAGGAAGTTCTCCAGGCAGAAGTATGATACCAATTAGAAGCTTGGATTTACACAAGAAACAAAGAATTTTGGAAATGGTGAAAATGAAGTATATAAAATCTTTTAAAATTAATATTATTTTTAATGTTATTTGACTTACTAACAGCCTTATTGACTTAATAATAGTCTTTAAAATAATTCTGCTTTTACATTTGTTATAATGTGTATTGTAAAATTTATAGCATATGTAAAAGTCAAATGTATGCTAGAAATTGTACAAGGAATGGGAGGGAGAAATTAGAATAAATTGTAAGATTCTTAGGCTATAGTAGAAGGAGTAAATTATTTTAATGTGGACCGGGTTAAGTTAAAGATGTATGTTCTAACAGGAGGACAACCACTAAAATTATTCTTAAAAGAGATATAAATAATGTATCAGTTTCCTATGGCTGCTGTAACACATTACCACAAACATAGTTGCTTAAGATAACACAAATGTATTATCTTACAGTTCCAGATGTCAGAAGTCTGAAGTGGGTTTCGTAGGCTAAAATCTAGATGCTGGTAGGCACATTCTTTCTGAAGGTTCTAGGGCAGAACCCATTTCCTTGCCTCTTCCAACTTCTAGAGGTTGCCTGCATTCCTTGGCTTGTGGCCCTTCCCTCCTTCCTTTCAAAGCCAATATTGCACCACTCTAATCTCTCTTTCTGTGTCGCATGTTCTTGTCTGACTCTGACTCTCCTGCATTCCTCCTTCATTTATAAGGACCCCTGTGATTACAATGAGTTCATCCAAATAATCTCCTCGTATCAAGATCCTTAATTTAATCACATCTTTAAAAGTTCATTTTGCCATGTACATTAACATATTCATAGATAGAAAGAGAGATGAAAGGAACAAAAAACAAATAAATAGAATTTGGATGATAATTTTAAATCCCAACATGTCATAATAACACTACATATAAACAGTCTGAATATTGCAATTAAAATGCAGAGATGATCAGATTGGATGAAAGAAACCACGATCCAACTATACTTGGTAGGTTTAAAGTAAACTGAAGAAGATGAATCACGCAAAAAGTAGTTAAAAGAGGCTAAGAGTGGCTATATTAATATCAAAGTTGATTTTAGAACAAAAAAATATTTCCATAGATAAAAAGAGAAATTACATAACAATGGGGTTGATCCACCAAGAAGATGTAACAGTACTAGATGGTTAGGCATCTAACAATAGAGATTCAAAATTTATGAAGTAAAAAAAAAAAAAAAATAGAACTGAAAGAAAAAATGGAGAAATCTACAATAATTGTTGATTTTAGCACTCCTCTTTCAGAAATTAATGGAACAAGTAGATGATAATGTCAGTGAGAATATAAATGATTTTAAGTGATATCAGCCCGGTACCTACAATAGATAAGAGAATCTTTTAAGAGTTGTCATGGAAGCTTTCTGGTTCTCAGACTATAAGTTAAGTTGAGAATTAAAGGACACAAGTTTTTCATTTTCTTTTGGTAAGCAATTAAGCATCCTCAAAAGAGTATATCCCACCTCACAGTCTTTATGGTCATCATTACTGCCACAATGGTCAAGTGCTGAAGTCACCTAGTCTCCCAAGTCACATCTTTTGTCATTTAACCACAGGTGGTAGCATGATTAATTGTGATGTCACTGCATGCCATGCATTACTAGCATACCATTTCCCACTGGCAGGTGGTTCAGCCCTGCCTTCAAGTCCAAGGGCACAGCCAAACAAATCTCCAAATCCCATCTTTGTGGAGCTATTTCCTGGGACCACTCCTGGTGGCAATTCTATACACTCAGGGTCCAAACAGGAGACAAAAGCAACACAGTAATTTGGAGAGGGAAAGTATTGAAAAAATTATTAACTATCACAGGGGTTTACCAACTAAGGGAAAAAGAGAATGCTGAAGACTAAAGTATCTCTCCAATACCCTCTACTTATAAAAAGCTTAATATAATTCCGGGTGGCAAGGGAGAACTATTATAGTATTTACAAATAAGGCAATGAAGGAAGGAAGGATTTAGAGCTAACAGGCAATGAGCTGGTAACTGGTGCATTGAGCATTGTTTTCTTATCCAATCTGACAATCTCTGCCATTCAACTAAATGGGTAGACATGTATGTTTAATGTCATTATAAACATAGTTAAATTTAAATTGACCATCTTGCTATTTGTTTTTGTTTGTATCATCTTCCTTTTGTTCTCTTTTTGCCTTCTTTTGGATTGAATTTATTTTTTCTCTCAAATGATTCCATTTTTAACTCCACTATTGACTTACTAGATTTAGTTCTTCATTTTATATCTGTAGTGGTTCCTCTAGCGTTTACTATGTATTATTTAACTGGCCATAGACTAACTACAAATAGTATTATACTATTTTACATATAGTGTAAGAATTGCTGGATCTAATGGTAACTCTATGTTTAAGTTTTTTAGGAATTTCCAAACTGTTTTACCAAATGGCTATGACATTTTAAATTTCCACCAGCAGTGTATGAGGGTTCCAGTTTCTCCACATCTTCATCAACATTTGTTATTATCTCTCGTTTTAAATTCTAATCATCCTAGTGGGTATGATATTCTAGTGGGTACCTCATCGTGGTTTTGATTTGCAACTCCCTTATGACCAATGAGGTTGAACATCTACTCATGTGTTTATTGGTCAGTTATATATCTTCTTTGGAGAAACGTCTGTTCAGATCATTTCCCATTTTAAAATTGGGTTATCTGGCCAGGCGTGGTGGCTCATGCCTGTAATCCTAGTACTCTGGGAGGCTGAGACAGGAGGACCGCTCAAGGTCAGCAGTTTGAAACCAGCTTGAGCAAGAGCAAGACCCATCTCTACTAAAAATAGAAAGAAATTAATTGGCCAACTAAAAATATATAGAAAAAGTTAGCCAGGCGTGGTGGTACATGCATGTAATCCCAGCTACTCAGGAGGCTGAGGTAGAAGGATTGCTTGAGCCCAGGAGTTTGAGGTTGCTGTGAGCTAGGCTGACGCCACGGCATCTAGCCCAGGCAATACAGTGAGACTCTGTCTAAAATAAATAAATAAATAAATAAATAAATAAAATAAAATAAAATTGGTTTATGTATCTTTATTGTTGAGTTGTAAGAGCTCTTTTTATCATATATATGATTTGCATATTTATTCTCCCATTGTGTGGGTTGCCTTTTAACTTACTTAATGGTGTCTTTTGAAGCACAAAAGTTTTTAGTTTTGATGAAGCACAAATTGTTTTTGTTTTCAAAAGCACCTTAGGCTTCTGTAGACTCTGTTTCAAAAATAGAAGTCCCTTTGTGGATAGCTTTGGAGCTCTCTTCTCTTTGCCTTTCTTTCTGGGCAAAATCTCTGAGCCACAACTCTGGGAGCTGGGCATGGTGGTAGCCTCTGATATTCTTGGCCTGCCTCTCCCAGCATAGGACCTGTGCCCTATGAGATGAGTGAGCTGAAGAATTGGGGGGAAACATCTGCACACGTTGAGAGCCATGCTCTGCTCTCTGTGAAGCTCTTATATTTCCAGGACTGTGATCTGAAAATTCAACCTTAACCTCTGCTTCCTCCGATCCTTAGCTCTGTCTCTCCAACTAAGAGAGCTCTCTGGGCTCTGCCTCAGTCCCCCTTCCCTGCATTGGGACCTGGAAACTCGGTCCAGACAGTGCTTTGTGGCAACTGCAGGGCTCACTCATTTTCTTGCCTTTTTGCAGAAGTCTCTGTTCTGTGCTGCCTCCGTCCAATGTCTGAAACCCATGGCATTGAAGACTTTGTTGACTTAGTCATTTAAGATGGGAGGAGTAAATCCAGTCTTATTCTGTCTCTGCCAGAAGCAGAAATCTTCTATATTGTTTGAATTGTTTACCAGGAGAATACATTCTCTTATTACCTGGGTAATATGTTAATACGATGCATGGAGTGGAAAGAGCCAGATACGGATGCCCACATTCCCTTCCCAAGTGGAAGCAGCCAGCACCCAGGAGGAAGGTGGATCTGACCTCAGCCGTCTCCCCAGACTCTGTCTCCCCCGGCAGCCCTCCTGGGTTGAAGCAGCCAGAGTCCCAGACTGTTCCTCCCCATAGCTATCTAAGTGCTTCCTGGGCCCCAGGCCTCAGGGAGGTGTAGGGCCCCTCAGAGCCCCTGTATACTGTCAAACCGACACGGCATAATGGATCAGAGGGGTTGTCAGACTGCATGGAGCCCCGTGCCCTAGTTGGATAGATTGGGAAACTGAGGCCTGGAGAGAAAAAAGGATGTGATCAAACACAGAGGCCTAAACAGAAATACAAACACTGCATGATCTCACTCACTTGCAGAATTTTAAAAAGCTGATCTCATCAAAGTAGAAAGTATAATAGCGGTTACCAGGGGCTGGGGAAGGGGAGGACTGGGGGAGTGGGGAGAGATTGGTCAACAGGTACAACATTAGGATTAGCTAGGAGGAATAAATTCTGTTTTCTCTTGCCCAGGAGTGTGGCCACAGTTAACTATATTGTATTGCATATATTAAAATAGCCAGAAAAGAGGATTTTGAATGTTTGTACCGAAAAGAAATGATAAATGTTTGAAGGTGATGGATAAGCTAATTACCCTCATTTGATCATTATGCAATGTATACATGTATTGAAACATCACAATGTACCCCATAAATATGTATCATTATTATGTGTCAATTAAAAATTAAATTAAATTAAAAAAAAAAGCAGTGGCCTGAGACCTGCCAAGTCAAGCCCTAGCTGTCCTGATTCCAGCTCTTTTCACCACACCAAACAAAAAAGCGATTAAGAAAAGAAGATGGACTTGTAAAAATAACGCTTTAAACCCTTCGGTGTGGGGTTGATAAACACATTAGCCAACAAGGACTACAGCCAGCTATTGTACAAGTGACAAAGGTCTCTGTGCTAACAGGGAAGCAGATGACCAAGATGAAGCAAGTTCCAGCACAGCGTGTGAAGCGTAATCCATTAACATACGCGTGTGTGCACACGTGTACAGGCAAAAGGCCTGTGGAAGGACATGGCCAAACTGGAAAGTGGTCTGGTGGGCTACTGAGAGTGTTGCTGCCCTA